GAGTCATAAAATTGAATTTGAAGTCATGTTGTGGTGACGAATAGAAATTGGGGAATGCGGGGATGGTTATCGCCGTCGTGCCATCAATGTTCAGTTTAGGAACTGATCGCGATTTGAGGTTCAAAATTCGCTATTGGTGTAGTTACAATTACTTAAAATTTTTGTTATCTGTTAAAACGTGGCGTCCTTGGACAAGTACTAATAGTAAACGAGTGTGATAACAACGCTAACTTTTTTCCAGTGTAGTGATTCCGATAGCGATGGTGAACCATACAAAAAGAGATAGCAGTGAATAATATTCGGATGCATTTGAATGATGAAACAGAGAGTATATTTCAATGTATAGAAAAATCTACATCTCAAGTTTGGTTTCGAGGCAAACAAACTATTACAAGCAACATCAGATTTGACCGAAATTACTTTCTCAATTGTACGTAAAATAGTCAAAAAAAAACCTAGTGAACACAAGACGCGATGTGATACAGGATTACCAAAACTTTCAGATGTTCGTTTAATAAAATCATTGAAAAAAACACGACTGTTACAAAAGCAATGAGATTTCTACAATTGAAATCATAAGGGAGAAATTGAATACTTCTGGCCATAACGTGAGCTTCTGTGACAAAACTCTTCAGAATTGAATACAGAAACTAGGATTTAGATTTGAAATAATAAACAAACCTCAAGCAGTTACGTAAAGCATAAAAATAGTGGAATTGTGTAACAAATACTTTGAACAAATAACTAAATATATTATAGAACAACGGCAAATTTTCTTTTTGGACGAATCTTGGTATGATACTCACGACACAGTCACGAAAGGGTGGACTGATGGTTCGAGAATGTGTACGCCTAACATGCCTGCAAACAAAGGATCGCTACTATTCATTGTGTATTGCGAAGGAAGTAAAGAATGGGTTCCGAATTCTTCGAAATTATGTGGAAATAACTTGAGGACTGCAATGTTGACTATCATAAGAACATGGAAGCTAATATTTTCGAGGAATCGTTTGAAAACACATTGATCCCTAATTTGGATACGAGTAGTGTAATGGTTCTCAACAACGCTTCCTATCATTCGCAAAACCTCATCAAAGTACCGAATAAAAAGTCGAGGAAAGATGAAGTACAAGGTTTTTCAGTGGATAATAATTTGTATTTTGAAGATTACTATACCAAAAACCAACTACTTGAAGTTTCACAGACATAAACATTTGAGAAAGTGTATGCCCTTGAGAATATTGCTGAAAAGTATGGACACACCACACTGAGACTTCTCGCCTCGTCTAATGGTCCCAATGGAAGAGCCCAGGAAAGCCAACCCAAAAAAAGACGCCAAGTTCGATCAGTTTGCTCATTGTTTTCTTCCATTACCGTGGCGTAGTGCAACAGGAGTTCTTGCCGGTCAATAAGGACTATTATCTTGAAGTTATGCGCCCTTTGCGAGAATCAATACAAAGAAAACGTCCGGTATTGTGAATGAACAATTTATAGCTTTCAAATCACAATTCTTCACCTGCTACTTGTCATTGGTTTTTCGTAATTTTTTGGCCATAAACAACACCGTAATCTTACCTCAGCCACCGTATTCACCAGATTTGCCCCCTGCGACTTTTTTATATTCACTGCTTCGAGGATTGCAAAAAACACTGGCAGAAGTGTAGTATTTCTAAGGGGGACTAAAGAAGACAAAATAGAAGGAGAAGAATAATTAACAATTTTTTGAAAAAAATGAAAATTCACCCCATTCTGCAGTTCACACAAAAGTATCGAGTAAGCCTGTTTTTTTTTTTGTGCTGCAAAAGTTACAGCGGCCGTTTCTTCTTTCGTTTTCCTGGATTTGCCCTTGATGACCACAAATTTCATAAATGCGAGTTTTTAATGTTACTGCAAGATTTTGTACCTGTCCTCGACCTTGCAGGTTATTAGAATTCCATACAACCATAGAATTAATTCCAGCTACATTCAGTATAGAATAAAATATAACCATCGACCAACGCCTGGTACTTCTTGCGCAGTTGTAATTTGAACAAAGTTGATCAACGACGTCCACTCCGCATTTAGTTTTGTTGTATGTAGTTATCATTTCAGGTTTAAACTTTTCATCTGTATTCTTGTCAATATTGTCGTCAAAATGCATTGAGGATACCAGTAGGACATTTTTTTCTTTTTCGGAATATAGGATACTAGAGTACAATTTTTCCTATATCCAAACATTCTTGAATTTACCGGATGAGTGGGGTTTATAAACTCAGGAGGTAGCTCTCGCTTATTTTTCCTTATAGTACCAATAACTGTTATTTTTTCTTTATACATTGCATCAACTAGGCTAAAACTAGTTAACCAATTATCTATGGTCAAATTTCGACCTGAGCCAAAAATATGTTGACATAATCGTTTTACGATCGCATCTGGAGAGTTGCTAAATCGAAAAGGGCCTTCGGGCTGTTGTCCAACGTGTACCTCCATGTTGGAAACATACATCATTTTCGCATCTGCAAGGGCAAAGATTTTGATACCATATTTATTAGGCTTGGATGGTATGTACTGACGAAAGCCGCAGCGCCCTCGAAACGCCTCAAGCTTCTCTTCAACAGTAACGTATTCTGATAGACTATACCCGTTCTTACAATGGTCCACAAACTTGTCAAGAAAATCCCTTACAGGTGCAAGTTTATCAATTTCTGCCCTTTGTGCACGAGTGGCTTTATCATCCATTCTTATACATCTTAGAAGAAATCGGAAACGAGATAACAACATTGTCAAGCGAAAAATTTCAACACCAGAGCCGTCAGTTTTCCAAAGATCATCCGCATTCAAATGGTTAGCCTTTAGAATGCCCGCATAATAGAGTAATCCAATGAAAGCTTGGATCTCCAGCAAATCAGTAGATCGTGCATCTCTGTCACGTGCGAAGTTCTCCTTGACAGAAATAATAAACTTGTTGGTGTTATCTACAATAGATTGTAACATTTCATCATTTATGAAATATTTCCATATTTCTAAAGGAGCTTTGATGCCTCTTGTAGGTAGCCGTGAAATAGGAAATAGGCCTGTCGAGTTCTAACTGTTTTAGGTCCCATTATTTTTTTCCATTTTGTCATTCCATCTTTTCCGGTGAAAGAAAGGCGGTTATGATGGTCAGCTTCCTCTTCATCAACTCCTTCCTCATCTCCTTCCTCATTCTCACTTATGTCCTGCTCAGATTCACTATCACCTTCTCTCTCCTCGATATTATCCTCTTCATCACTACTTGCATCAACAGCAACTTCCTCGTCCGATGACATAGACATATCCATCAACTCTTGTAGATGAAGTTGCTCGGCTTCATAGGAATACATATCTATGGAAAATTAAATTCTAACAAAAGTGAGGAAGGTACTCTCCTAATACTACATACCTATTTCCCTTTATTTATACTTATATTATAAGACACAAATAAATTATATAATTCATTTTGCACAAATCAAGTTTAGTCGCTTCGGTCTCAGATTCTGAAATCAGCCAGTACATGGGACCAACTGCACTCACAGAAACCACGATTCGTACTAATATTTATCGAGGGAATACAGGAAGGTACCCAGAGGGGGAACGCCAAACTTGGCCGTCAACGAGTTATAATACAGAATATGTACTCCGTCGGTCTTGGACACCGATAGCGACTAATGAAGAGATAACTAATTGTACACTAGAACAACGGCAAATTTTCTATTTTGAAGGAATCTTGGTATGACATTCACGACACAGTTACGAAAGGGTGGACTGATGGTTCGAGAAGGTGTACGCCTACCAGGCCTGCAAACAAAGGATCGTGACTAATCATTGTGCTTTGCGGAGGAAGTAAAGGATGGGTTCCGAATTCTTTGAAATTATGTAGAAAAAACTTGAAGACTATCATAAGAACATGGAAGCTAATATTTTCGAGGAATGGTTTGAAAACATATTGATCCCAAATTTGGATGCGAAAAGTGTAATAGTTCTTGACAACGTTTCCTGTCATTCGCAAAACCTCATCAAAGTACAAAATAAAAAGTCGAGGAAAGATGAAGTTCAACGTTTTTTAGTGGATAACAATTTGTATTTCGAAGATTACTATACCAAAAACCAACTACTTGAAGTTTCACAGACATAAACATTGGACGACCTTGAGAGTATTGCTGAAAAGTATTGACACACCATACTGAGACATCTCGCCTATTTGGTTATGACATCTGAACCAAAGTCTAATGGTCCCAATGGAAGAGCCCAGGACAGCCAACCCAAAAAAGGACGCCAAGTTCGATCAGTTTGCTCATTGTTTTCTTCGATCACCGTGGCGTAGTGCAACAGGAGTTCTTGCCGGTTAATAAGGACTATTATCTTGAAGTTATGCGCCCTTTGCGAGAATCAATACAAAGAAAACGTCCGGTATTGTGAATGAACAATTTATAGCTTTCAAATCACAATTCTTCACCTGCTACTTGTCATTGGTTTTTCGTAATTTTTTGGCCATAAACAACACCGTAATCTTACCTCAGCCACCGTATTCACCAGATTTGCCCCCTGCGACTTTTTTATATTCACTGCTTCGAGGATTGCAAAAAACACTGGCAGAAGTGTAGTATTTCTAAGAGGGACTACTTCGAAGAAGACAAAATCGAAATTGATAAGCACGTCAGGCCATACTAACACGGCCAGTGTTGCTAGGTAATTATCATGCTTAGCAGTATATTTTGAGTCGGTATCATTGTAATAATAATTATTATTATTATAAAAGTGCAATTCGAAACATCTCCTGTTCCTTGAGAGAATGCAACTCTTCATTTATTTCCCAAAAGAGTAACTGAAAAAAAATATTTTGATAATAAGTACTTCCAAGTCTTTGAAGAGATGTGAGATTTAATACCAAAAAATTATCGACAGCTTCCTGTTTTGACAATCTCTCATACAATTGTCACATACTCACTGCAGAAATTAGTGCATTATATGTTAGGCTGCTGGGTGCAGCAAAGTTAGCGACTTTAAATTTTAGTTTTCCTCTATGAGAGAAAAAAAGACATGTTAGTTGAAGAATAACTCACCTCTCTTCCATTAACGTAAATCAGTGCCCCGTTCAGAGGCACCAGAGTAACTCGATTGTCCTTGTTTTCAAAAACGCAGTGTTCTGATTTAATATGTGACCCACATAACTGAATGTCCTGTGGCATGTTTGCTTGATCAGAGCCGATTCTCGTCAACCCTTCCTGAAATCATATATTTTTAGATCAGCAACAACACTTAAAACTTCATTTAGTTTGTCTCAAGTCTAACCTTGATGTAGTAGATCAAACATTCAGACATGAAAGGATCTTCATTTAAATTAACCAAGTGTGGCGTGCATTTGGGGGAAAATACGCCCACCGTATTTCCATCTTCCTTAACTGCTACACCCATCTCTGCGAACACAGCCTCTCGTTGGATTCTTATTGCTTCGGTTTTCTTCAACTTCTCCTCCCAAGTTTCATTCAATTCTGAAAAAGAGCCCCTTAATATGCGTGGAAACCAAAAGATAGCACATACTTTACCGGCTATGAGTTTTTCACTAGCTTGTAGCTGATCTACAGCCTCTTCCGCTATAGTAGTCGACTGGCTTCTAGATCTTTCGATTTCTTTGTTGTTTCTTGGTATAACAGCTTCTTCTATCCCTGAAAAAAAATGTAGGGTTTCGAAGTTTCGATTCAGCGAAGATTACGGTATCGCTCTAAGCCAATGAACATATAATAATTTCAATTTAGAAATAAAGGTTCTGCCAATTCGGGAATTCGAAATTTTCAAGCCCAAGCTCAACATTTAGATTCAGTAACTTGGAGTCACGGCGAAAATAAAAATGCCACCAACCCATTTAACATGGAAATTTCGCAAATATATCAGCTCCAAAGCGGAGGTAAATTTGAACAATCTTCACTGAAGAAATACATGAAAATCTTTTTCTTATGAAAAATATTTGGAATTTTGAAAACATCTCTTATTATAATCTGTAGTAGAAAACATTCTTCTCGACAGCTTTGATCTGCTCAAAAAACCTATACCTATTGATGAATGGTGATATAGTTTTATTCAATTCTTCAATGAGGTCGAAGTTATCAACTTGATGGTAATGAATCATTGTCACCATCGTTAACTTTGTTATTTTTGAAAACATGAAATTGTACAAATTATCAAACTATTATGTTTTTCGAGATAAGTTTTTCAAGTATGGTATCACAAGCTGACACGTCATCTCGGGTGAACATCCGTTCGTCTTTGACATTTCAATAAATGACATAAATGTCTTTGACATTTCAATATATTCCTTTATATTATAGAAACAGTGTTGGAGGAGAAAACTTTTGATAATAAATTTAAATTTAGTGAGGTTGAGTGACTTTACAGATGAATGAAGATGATTATAAAGATTTAAGTTTATCAAGAACAATAGTGGACCTAAAAAGGATCCCTGAGGAACACCACGCTTCATTTCTTTGAGGTCTGACTCTACGTTGTTCACTTCAACAAAATGGCACAGATTTATTAGATAAGATTGGACGAGCTTGAGAGCTGTGCCCCGGACACCATGTTCGCTGTTTGTGGTGCACTGACCTTGGTTTTGTATATGACGGTTTACTAATCATCTCTCTTGTTTAGACTGCCGATTTTCTCAATTTCAATTGATTCTCTTATCATTCTGGTTTTCAGGACTTTCCACGCCACAAGTACAGCCTATGGCAACATATAAATAGACAAGCATCAACAAATTTCGACGGCTACGTACATTCGATTAGCGATTTTTTCATGTTGGTAGACTAGTCTCGAACATATGTTCACAGTTTTAGCTGTTTAGTTTGTTTGTGAGGCCTTAATAGAATGCCAATTCAATACCAATATAATAAAAAAAGGTCGACACTATTCAGACCAACCTCTGGCGTTCGTCAGGAATCAATTCTAGGCCCACTTTTATTTATAATGTTCATTAACAATATAGGTGATTATATAAGACATTCCAAATTCCTGCTCTATGCAGATTATCTCAAACTATACCAAACCATCAACGATGAAAAAGACAGTGAAAACCTTCAGAAAGACTCAGATTCTATCACTATCTTTTGTGAAACGAACAACTTGATGTTGAATGAGGGTAAATGCAAAGTTATGTCTTTTTCATGGAAAAATGTTATTGCTCCAACGGAATATTCAGTAAATGGTACCAAACTGGAAAAACTTGCTCCAATTAAAGATCTGGGAGTCATATTTAATAGTAACTTCAATTTCAGAAATCACATAGAATATATTGTACGTGATGCAAACAGAAAGCTTAGTTTTGTTTTAAGAAACGCCAGGGATTTCAAATGGAAACTAGGAATTCTTCTATTCAATGCCTTTGTCAGATCGAAGCTCGAATACGCTTCAACAATCTGGAATCCGCAAACAGCATTTCATTCAGAGATGATAGAAAAAATACAGAAGAAATTTCTTAGGTACACCTACTTCAAAAAAAAATAAAGATTCTCCCTCTATGATCTCCTATAGGACTCAACTAGACACTTTGACATGCCAACCCTGTCGGATCGTCGAGGCTTGAATGATGTACTATTTATATTCAACATATTTTATCAGATAATAAATGTACCTGAACTCCTCAGTGTGATCAATCTTCATGTTCCTAGTGCTAGTCTAAGAAATCGCAATAGGGTGTAGACACCCGATCAGAGTCTCCACTCAATCGCTGCCTTAAGCAAGTGAATGATCTAGTCATAAGTCACCAAAGTCTTGATTTTTTTTTTGCTGTGATGAATTAGAAATAAGACAGTCGTTTTTAAAAAAATGTGCCATATATACCTGTTTTTATTAACGTTTCTGTTGTACGTAATTTTAGGTGTTTATTTACTCTGTGTATTTTAAAAACTATATATTTTATGTACCATGACATTGACTTTATACATGTAATCGGGTATAAACCTGTTTGGATTGCAGTTTAAATAAAATCTATCTATCTATCTAAAGTTAAAAGTGTTTCGCGTGTTCGGCGGTTTTCTGCTATTGAAAATAATGGATCAAAGAATTTTCATCAAATTTTGTGTAAAAAATGGAATAAAGTGGTCAAAACACATGAAATGGTGACAGTGGCATACGGTGATTGTAGTTTGAGTCATAAAAATGTTTACAAGTGGCACAAGCATTCCACAAAAGGTCGAGAAGATGTGAATGACGATGCTTGTCCTGGACATCCAGCATATCAACACAAAGTGACAAAGTCGTAAGTCTACATGAGAGGCAAGTGGTAAGGTGTTTTCACCTGAACCTGGAGCATGTCATATGCACCTCTTCGGAATAATAATCATTAATCCGACTCCTACCCCGGAGTATGTGTTTGTGGAATTATTTCCTGGCTTTGTTTGCAGGTGGCGCAGTAGACATCCTACTGAATCAACTGCAGAAAGAATTCATAACTAACTGGAATTATATTTGTTTGGTCGTGATACTCAGACGGGTCACACCGTTCTGAAGAGACCATGCCCGGTACTGATGATGAGGCAATCTCCCCGAAACCGGTCTATCGGTTGGTCGGATCGATCAAACGAAATTAGTTTCTGCTTCTCATAGTGAGAAATAACTTGCGACGAATCTTCCAAATCGAAGACGTTGCACAGTTGGTGATGGTTTTACTTCAACTCTCTGCGCGGCATTAGCTGGGTTAGTTGTTGTTTTTTGGTTGGGTTTCTGCCACATGTACCTAAAAAGTCGTAGGTCTATATGAGAGGCAAGGGGTAAAGTGTTTTCACCTGAACCTGGAGCATGTCATATGCACCACATTGACAAGTCAATAAAGGAAACCGTATGGACATCCGGTAAAACCTAAACATCCATAAATTCAAAAGTCCGTATTCACTTATCGAGGAACAAACACAAATCAAAACACAACAAGACTCAACATTCAATATACTACATAATACAATAACCATTCCTAGAAACAATGAACCTAGAGAAACTCCAACACAAACGATATTACCTGATGAAACCGAAATACAGGCAAATTTAAAGAGACATCCGGATGACAGGAGGGGACAAATACCTGCATTAAGGCGTTCAATCGTATGAAAGAACAAACAGGAAGATAAAACGTTCAGTAAAAGTTATTAAAGCTTCAAATCCTTGTAAACTTATGTTTATATTGAAATACTGAATATCTCCCAGGTGTTTCGTACTTAGTTATGTTATAGTTAGTTTTTTGAATTATTGTTTTTTCCTTGCTATAAACATTGTATGTTTCTTGGGAAAATAAATTGTTATTATTATTAATATCTTCAATACCTATTCAGGTCAAATATACTGCAACCCAAATATCTACCAGGTGAGCATCCATTGTATATTGTTTTGCCATCATTTCAGATGGCATTACCAAGTCTTGTTACTGCTCCTTGCTGGTTATGAACGATTCGTTACAGTAGTCTCAGAAAACGTATTGCTATTCCGGTTCAAACAATCAAAAATACACATAAATTATTTATTATTCAATGAAATAATTTTATATGCAAAAATAAGGCCACGTCGACGATTCATGCGCACAGTCGATAAAAAATATAAGAGTATCATTTTGACTTTCAAACTACAAAACTCAGTTTCTTCTTCAATAACAAAGTTATCAATGGTGACGTTACATTTATGGAGAAATATCAGGTTTCAGGTATGTGATTGGTTTGAACTGTTCCAAAGGCAAACCAATAGGGAGCGAAACTTTCACAAACATAGTTGGTGGTCACATGTAAATTGTGGAATTTATACGAGATTAGCACAATTCAGGCAAGTCATNAATCAATCTCTCCCAAATATATACCCTTTGAATTTAATGAAACATATGATATCCCATCATCTTTGAGATTTTTATGTCACAGGAAATACTGGAATATTTTTTTATAAAAATAGTACAACTCAAATTATATTAATGTTTCAACTTGCCTGCTTACTAAACTCGTGTAAATATGTTCCTAACGTTAATGAGTGCCAGAAGCCTTTGTTCTTTCAAGCAGTACTTACTAGGAGGCTCCTTTTTCTCATATACTACTTTACCATCTGGCCCTGCATTGCGGCAAAATTTAAAACGTCATCAGCCACAATTCAAATTACTTGTAATCGTAAGTTATTCCATGCTATTGAAGTAGTTCACTGAGAGTTACAAACTCAATAGCAGGTGTAACCGAAAATTTTGGAAAATACACACCAGGGTTTAAAATATTTGAACTCACCCTCGTGCACGTCGATGCCTTCCTGTTTTAACAACTCCCGCAGTTTCTGTATTTCTTCTTTGAGCTCTCGAATGAGTTTGGCGTTAGCATCTTCGTTAACAATGGCCTTGCAAACTATCTGTTTAGCTCTATCAGCATACCTGGAATTACACAGAAACGATGAAAAGTTGATGATTTTCAAGAGGGGAAACATTTTTACCTCAGTGTTGATAATGTTTCGTCGTAGTTGATGTCTGCTGGTGAAATAGCAGCGATCATAGCAGTTTTACTGTTTCCTCCTAGGTTTTCTCTGAGCAGCCATGTCAGAACAGAATCTCTGTAGGGAATAAAATCCGCTTTTTTGGATTTTTTGTTTTTTGTTGCCTGAAAAAAAAAATTAAATTATAGTGCTATTTTGGTCAACCAAATGACAGATTATTTATTATCGACAGACTACAATGTTGATTATCAAGCTGAAAAGTGATGAAGAAGGCGAAATAAGATGCAAGGATGATGTGGTGAATAAATACTTGTGATTCTATAGTTTGTATTGTGCAAAAGAAGACTCATAAAGTTGCAATTTTTCGGAATTTGGGAAAGAATTAGGAGACAGCACTGATTTTGTATTTCAGATTCGTAATCTACACGTTGAAATACGTAAGTACAGTTAAATGATACTAGATATAGAAATAATATACTTTGTCTAATTTCCACTTACTTAATGTATTGATATTAATACGATCAAGGTTTCGGTTTTTACACCATTCTCAAATATTCTAACACTACATACTTGAGAATGGTGTAAAAATCGAAACCTTGGTCGCTTTAATATCAATACATTAAGTAAGTGGAAGTTGTACAAAGTATTTTATTTCTATATCTATATCATTTAATTGAAGATGAATTTCCACAAAATAAATAAGTCATCAATATCACAAACGTAAGTACAGCTTGGCAAATCAGCTGTGCCTGTGAATGTGGCATAGTAGACCAGCCAGCGGAGTGTGGCGAGAGCTCATTAACGTCGAGGAACTCGTGTAGTGAACTGTAGTTAGTACTGTAAGTGGAGAAATTATTCTGTATGGTGATCTGTGAGTTATTTTTTGTATTTGTGAATGCCTTCGAACAGTAAACTAAAAAACAAGGTTCTCAGTGGACAAATCAGAGAAATTGTGAACAACGTATTAGGTAATATTTATGCAAGCGGAAGCAATGACAGATGGAATAAGAATTCCTCTTGCGATAGTAAGAAGCAAAATTGCTTTGCGTGCGACCTGTACGAAATTACGAAATATCAAATCAAAGTTGAAAAAAATAGAAAATGGAGACAAAAAAATATTTTCAAATAAAAATGAAAAGGTATGTATCAAAAATTCCAAAATTGTGATGGGTGATGCTGATTTGGCAGTTTTCACAGCACAATTAATTTCCATATAAAAGAGAAAGAGTTCCTATGTTTAGGAAAATTTCAAGATATTGAAGTGTTTTGATGTAAAATAATTAATATGAGCAAACAGTCAAATGTGAAATTATCCAGATTAAGTATAAAAACATTTTAATGGTTCTGGCTGCATGAATAATCATATAATTCTGTATTTTCAACTTGATTCATCAACTACTTTTTAAATTGATTTTTTAATTTGAGATCAATTTAATATTTTCAATTTCTTTAAGAATTATATTATCATATATATATAAAAATGGATGTTTGTTGGTTGGTTGGTCAGTGATAAATTTCTACATCACTCAACCGATCGTGATGAAACTTGACATGTATGAGTAATTTTTCATAGAGAAGGTTTTTAGGCTACCAATTTTTCTGTAACTCGCCACTAGATGGCGCTGTAGAACAATTTTTGAAAGCACTGTTCTATAACGCTGCGGACGCCTAAGTTCGTTGATTCTGATTCTGTCAAAACTTACTACTTACTACTAGTACTAGTATATTATAATTCCATCAGGATAAATCGAATTCTGTCGAAAATTAGATTTGAAATTACTAATTGATGATAACTTTGTTTATCTAGTGTTATGACTGTATATTATTGAATTCCATGACATTTATATTTGAAATTTTTGATTTATTTATTATCGAATGAATGAAACAATTTTTTTGTTTGTATAGTGTGGTCAAAACTGATACATTTTTTGGTTTATACAAATTTACTGTATGTTCTTAGTACAATAATTTTTATATGCATTCGACAGTTTGGTTTTGTGAAGATTTTGAAGGTTTTATTGTGGATTTATCGGAAATGAAATATTGCAGTTGTAAGTACAGTTTAAAAATAAGATGAATTTTCAAATTTCGCGGGCTAAGTACATTCGATTTGCGATTTTTTTATGTTGGTACACTCGCCTCGAACATATGTTCACAGTTTCAGCTGTTCAGCATGTTTAGTTTGTTGGTGAGAGCTATAAAAATTGGTGGTGTTTTGCATGTTTCACGATTTTGTTCTATCGAAAAAATTTATCGGAGAATTTGCATCAAATTTTGTAAAAAAATGGAATTGAGTGATCAAAAACACTTTGAATGTTGACAGTGACATACGGTGATTGTAGTCCGAGTAAAAAAATGTTTATAAGTGGTGCACGCCCCGGCACATCAACAACCTATGAAACTATTGAGAAAGTGATGAAAATTGTTATGGAGAATCGTCGAATACTATTAGAGAAATTGCTGAGGATGTCAGCATGTCGGTTGTTCTATGCCAGGTAATTTTTTCGGAATTTGCTGAATTTTGACGAAAAAACCGTCGCATGAGCATCGCTCAGGAATCGTTGAATGACGTCAACGGTGATCCAGATTTGCTTGAGAGGGTCGTAACTGATGACGAATCATCAAAACCAAAGTTCTGAATAGAATATAAATCTCTACTTTTTTTCGAATAATTTCAATATGTTTTGTCCCCGATAAATTTTCATCAATATATAATCCTAGGAATTTAATAGGAATGGTATAACTTATTCTGTTCAATGATCTTTTAGAAGCAGTGGCGTAGCGTGGGTATCGGTTGCCCGGGGCAGAAGACAATTTTGCCGCCCTTTTAATTAGGTATTTCAATTTAATGTATACTGTACATATAATATAATTCTGTATAATTCTAGAGAACTTTTCGGCAAGAAGAGTCATCATTATTTTGCATTATACAGGTTAGATTTTAAATAAAAAAGTTCATTTATTTTACAATAACGTTTATTAAAACGAAAATTCTCACTTCAACCATTGATATAACAGGTACACAGGTATTATTTATTCGATATGATTAAATAATTAGCGAATTGAATATAAAACGAAAATCAGTTTTTAATTAGGAGTAGGATGATACTATTAAGTAATATTTATATCTTTTTGAAAAATAATATAGGTAGGTACTTGTTAGAGTTAAAAACAAAATCTCCAGTTTAAAAATTTAAACATCTACTTTTTTAAGAACAAAGTCTTTTATTGCATTATCAATGTCTATAGCATCACACACCTCTTGTTCAAAAAACAAGATAGCCAAATTTGTTAGTGTTAGAGTACTCATTGTCGACCTTAAATATCACAGTTACGAAACAGTGTGACCTAAACAACTGAAGATCCACGAATAAAACTTTCTTTGAATTGTCAAAGCATCACGTACTTAAAGGGACAATATTGAACCTAGTAAATATGTAATAGAAGTCATTCTCGCTGATTATGTCATAAACAATCCAAGCACAAAATGAAATATGGGAATTTTCCGCATTCAGTAAAGACGGTGTTACCATTCGCTACGAAATATAATTCAAAGAAAGGGGATCCCCGAATTCGTCACAGAATAAGTAATGAAAAATTCCGTGCTTTTTTCAATCGGTTCGAATTTATAGTTGTGTTAAAATATGAAATGGTTCAAATATTTACAAAATATATTTTATTATTAACTGTGAAATTTTGCCGCCCCCTAAAAAGTGCCGCCCGGGGCGGGCTGCACCCCCACCCCACTACACTACGCCACTGTTTAGAAATATTCATACAAGAATAGTTTCGGAAATTTAAGAGTTAATTTATTTTCTTGTAACCTAAAATTGTTTTCAGTTATCGGAAGAGTATACAGGGTGTTTATTAAACATGCGGAAAAAAATTAAGGGAACATTCCTTGGACTATTCTAAGGATATTTTGTCCTTTCATGATTTTCGATAGGGCACTTTATTTTGAAGATAAGGGGTGAAAAATAATTTCGACAATAACAATTTTGGTAATTTTACAGTTATTAATGTATCCGAAATAAAAGTATAGACTACACTGGACCTACCAAGTAATAAAAATCTAACAATTCCGTTGGTACCTATTCAATTTGAATAGTATGTCTAGTAAGTGATCGTGGTGTTTTTGAAAGAGTTTGGGAATCGATGATGAGAAGATTGGGTTCTTGCATCCGAGCGGGAAGGTAGGTGAAGAATGGATTCTTGCATCCGAACGGGGGGTAGTCATTTTTAACAGTTCTTGTAGATTAACAAACATTACATGTAATTTTTGGTAGTAAATTGTTATTGTTGAAATTCTTTTTCGCTCCGCATCTTCCAAACAAAGCGCCCTATCAAAAATCATCAAAGGACAAAATATCCTTAGATAAGTACAAGGAATAGTCCCTTAAGTTTCTGACGCATCTTTAATAAACATCCTGTATAATTGTTGCAAATAATTTGACTGATCCCTTCAGAGGTAAATTGGTTAATGAGTTAATGTATATTAAAAAAAGGAGTGGACCAAAAATAGATTCTCGTGGTACCCCAACATTTATTTTTCTTATGGAACTCTTACTATTTTCTATGAAAAAAATGTATTGTCTGTCACTTGAATAATTTACAAAACAACTAAGGATATTTTCTCTAATGCCAAAATTGTTTAGTTTTGAGATCAATATATCATGATTATCAAATGCTTTACATAAACCTAAAGACAAGAGGCAACATTTTTTATTGATGTTATGGTGCTTATGATTTCTATATAAATAATTCATGTTTCACAATAATTACTAATCTGAATAATATTTTGAGTATTCAGGTACTTTTTTCAAGCGTATGAATTCAACTCACCGACTATTCCGTGACAGCAAAAAATGACAGTTATCATTATCAGTGTTCTCGTTTAACATGTATACTTACTATTTCTGCTAAGGCTGATATAACTTTTCCTAGTGTTGTCAGACTTTTGTTGATATTTGCACCTTCCTTCAATCTGGTTCCTTTGGCACCTGTGGAATCTGCCCTTTCGGATCCGGCCAAATCGACAAGTGATATTTTTGATACCTTTTCGGTACACAGCTGAGTCGCTTCGTCAACCCTGATTGAAAAAAAACATTGTGGGTGCACTTGGAATTCCATATAATGTTACATTAGTTTTATTTTGGGGCAACTCTACAAATACTGTAAGTATTTTTAAGATTCAGAAAAAGCTGTTGGAATTTTAACAAATGTGGGTTATGTAGGCAGTTTTTTGAGCTTTTTTTGCTATCTCGGTAACGGTAAGACCTGTAAGGTCGGTTAAATTGGACAAATGTTTCTTATTCTGAAACTAGAATTATCTTTTTTCAGATCAAGAATATCATTACCAGAAAAACATAACCAGACATAACATCACCAGAATGATGAGGATGGTGGTGCCCTGAACTGGAACACTTTAGGAAGTCAGCGAGAATGACCTTTAACAAGGCAAAACGTACAAGACTCGAAGAGGACTGGAGTATATATCTAGCCAACCTCAGAGAGTTCAAAAAAGTCCGCAGACAAAAACAAAGAGAAGCCTGGAGAGCCTACTGTGAGGCAGTCGAAAACTTCCCACTAGCTTCTAGGCTACATAAGGCACTCTCAAATGACCACCATAAGAGTATCGGCATCCTGACCAGGGAAAATGGCGACAAGGCCTCCAACCTCCAAGAGAGTGCTGCGATTCTTATGGAAACTCACCTTCCAGGTTCTGTCTTTCCTGGAAAGACGAACTGGACGGAAGTATCAACAACACCCTCACAATACGACTGGCAATCTGCTAGTGCAGTAGTTGACGAGGACAAGATAAGATGGGCCATATCGGGCTTTTCCCCCTTCAAGTCACCAGGACCTACTACTTTAATGGGGGCTGGATATCCTTATGCCGCACCTGGTTGGAATATTCAGAGCCTCTCTAGCTCTGAGGTATATTCCCAGTAAGTGGAGAGAAGTACGAGTAGTATTTATACCCAAACCAGGTAGAATGGACTACATCTTACCAAAAGCATTCCGACCAATTAGTCTCACACCGTTCTTCTTAAAAACTATGAAGAGGCTATGTGAGGGGTACATAAGAGATGAAGTACTAGTTCACAACCCACTTCATCCAAATCAGCATGCATTTACTCCGGGATGGTCTGCTGATTTGGCCCTTCACCATGTGGTTGGCAGAATCGAGAGATAATTGGACAACAAAGAATCCACCCCGGACATATTCATAGATATCGAGGGAACGTTTGATAAAACAACCTTTCCAACAATTACCCAACCACTACACTCCAGGAATGTACCCCTGGTAGTAGGAGAATGGATACTCAAGATGCTCTCTAGTAGAGCAATAAGTATCAATGTAGAAGACATCACAGTGAGAGGACTGGTCATGAGGGGATATCCACAGGGAGGAGTCTTATTACCTCTTCTCTGGAACATAGTTCTGGATACCTCAACAATAATGGATTCTACACAATTGCATATGCAGATGACATAGTTATCTTGCAGACCGGCAAATTTGTGTACGCAGGATGGGCTCAAATTAATAGAAACATGGTGTAAGGAACACTCACTGTGGATCAATCCCAAAAAGACTAAGATTGCCCTTTTCACGAGGAAAAAAAGTTTATCGGGCTTAAAACCTCCCGAAATCTTCAAAAGCAAACTAAATTTCTCTGAAGAGGTGAAATACCTTGGTAGTATCCTCGACATGAAGCTAACATGGAACTATCACCTACAGAGTAGAGCAAAAATAGCATATGTGGCTTATGAGCAATGTCGGAGGACAGTGGGACGTGCATGGGGTCTTTCACCTTGTGTGGTCACCTGGATCTACACTGCAATAATAAGACTTATGTTAAGCGTACGGAGCTATTGCATGGGGACCGAAAGTTCTACAAGCAACGGCCATCCAAAAATTATATCCAATACAGCGACTGGCTTGTTTAAACATCACCAACATCAACCGCGGTAATGTAATTAATTACGGGTCTGACCCCTCTGGACCTGTGCGTTAAGAACGATGCGTTAATGGCCATGTTACGATTGCCACGGCTGGTGTAAACCTCGAAGTAGGAATGGGTCAATTGAGGCTGAGTCTATGACGAAAAGCGTTTACTGCCCAGGCAACCAGTGATGCAATTGAACCCAGGTTTGTGTTTAATAAATCCTACAAAATATAAATAAAACAGAATAGAGTCAGATGCTACAAATGCAGTACGCATATATACAGACGGCTCAAAAACCAAAGAAGTGGAGTGCACTCCAGGTCACTAAGCCTAAGGATTAGGTGGGGAATGGGAAAAAATACCAACGTGGTCCAAACAGAACTGGATGGTATCTCAATCGCTACGAAAGAAATAACCAGGAAAAGAATTTCTGGGAAAAACATAACAATCTGCACTGACAGCAGAAAATCCCTATTAGCCTTGAACAGACAACTTGTTACCTCATGGCTAGTACTAGAGTGCCACCAAGATTTAGCCAAAGCCTCGGTGGATAATAACATTATCCTGAGGTGGGTTAAAGAGCACGACAGGAGTAAAGGTAATCACATTGCCGACTCTTTAGCCAAGGAAGCGGCTGGACTAAAAATTTTAGGACCCAGTGGCACTGACGACCTGATGACTTCGACATTTGCGGGACTAGCCAAATGTTACACCCATGCTCAATTCCTAAAGAGATGGGATGGAATCAAAGGATGCAATCTTGCCAGGATCACCCTGGGCGACCCTGAGAAGCTGGCGCCGAAGAAATATCTGGCAATGACCAGGAAAAATCTACGCTTAACAGTAGGATTTCTGAATGGCCACTGTCAACTAAGGAAATACCTCCATAATATGGGGCTAGTTGACACACCTCTATGCAGGATGTGTGAACAGGAAGAAGAGACTGTCGTGCATGTCTTATGCGAGTGCCCGGAGTTATCGTCAATAAGAGAGTGTGTGTTCGGCGAGTCTTGGCCTACACCTGCCGATATGAAGGAGATGTCTCCAAGTGACCTGTTCACCTTCCTGGAAAGAACAGGATGAATGATGACCTAGGAGGACAACTCCTCGGGAGGATGTACAATGCTGTGGGCTTACACTAACTCTCCCTACTCTACATTATACATGTAATCGGGTATAAACCTGTTTGGATTGCAGTTTAAATAAAATCTATCTATCTATCTAAAGTTAAAAGTGTTTCGCGTGTTCGGCGGTTTTCTGCTATTGAAAATAATGGATCAAAGAATTTTCATCAAATTTTGTGAAATAAATGGAATACAGTGGTCAATACACATGAAATGGTGACAGTGGCATACGGTGATTGTAGTTTGAGTCATAAAAATGTTTACAAGTGGCACAAGCATTCCACAAAAGGTTGAGAAGATGTGAATGACGATGCTTGACCTGGACATTCAGCATATCAACACAAAGTGACAAAGTCGTAAGTCTACATGAGAGGCAAGTGGTAAGGTGTTTTCACCTGAACCTGGAGCATGCCATATGCACTTCTTCGGAATAATAATCATTAATCCGTATGTGTTTGTGGAATTGTTTCCTGGCTTTGTCTGCAGGTGGCGCAGTTGACATCCCACTGAATCAACTGCAGAAAGAGTTCATAACTACCTGGAATTATATTTGTTTGGTTGTGATACTCAGACGGTTCACACCGTTCTGAAAATACCATGCCCGGTACTGAAGATGGGGCAAGTACCCCCAAACCGGTCTATCGGTTGGTCGTTTCGACCAAACGAAATTAATTTCTGCTTCTCATAGTGGGAAATAACTTGCGACGAATCTTCCAAATCGATGACGTTTAACAGGTGCCGATGGTTTTACTTCAACTCTCTGCGCGGCATTAGCTGGGTTAGTTGTTGCTTTTCCGTTGGGTATCTGCCACATGTACCTACAAAGTTGTGGGTCTACATGAAAGGCAAGAGGTAAGGTGTTTTCACCTGAACCTGGAACATGTCATATGCACCATATTGACAAGTCAATAAAGGAAACCGTATGGACATCTGGGAAAACCTAAACATCCATAAATTCAAAAGTCATAATTCACTTATCGAGGAACAAACTGCAACCCAAAGGATATTACCTGATGAAACCCAAATACAGGCAAATTTAAAAAGACATCTGGATGACAGGAGGGGAGAGATACCTGCACTAAGACGTTCTAACCGTATGAAAGAACAAACAAGAAGATAAAACGTTCAGTTTGAGTAGAGCCATGAAGATGATAGCACAGCCTGCTATCGAAAGCGCCCGCATGTGATAAGTAGAAGTTATTAAAGCTTCAATCCTTTTTGTAAACTAATGTTTATATTGAAATACTGAAAATGAATGAAGATTAGTTGCAACAATCAAATATATATGGGTTGCAGTCTATTTGACCAGATTAAAACATATTGCATGGGGACCGAAAGTTCTACAAGCAACGGCCATCCAAAAATTATATCCAATACAGCGACTGGCTTGTTTAACATCACAGTAGTCATGAGAACAACACCAACCGCGGTAATGGAATTAATTACGGGTCTGACCCCTCTGGACCTGTACGTTAAGGACGATGCGTTAATGGCCATGTTACGATTGCCACAGCTGGTGTAAACCTCGAAGTAGGAATGGGTCAATTGAGGCTGAGTCTATGGCGAAAAGCGTTTACTGCCCATCCTCTGCTGCAGGCAACCAGTGATGCAATTGAACCCAGGTTTGTGTTTAATAAATCCTACAAATTACAAATAAAACAGAATACAGAGTCAGATGCTACAAATGCAGTACGCATATATACAGACGGCTCAAAAACCAAAGAAGTTGAGTGCACTCCAGGTCACTAAGCCTAAGGATTAGGTGGGGAATGGGAAAAAATACCAACGTGGTCTAAACAGAACTGGATGGTATCTCAATTGCCACAAAAGAAATAACCAGGAAAAGAATTTCTGGGAAAAACATAACAATCTGCACTGACAGCAGAAAATCCCTATTAGTCTTGAACAGACAACGTGTTACCTCATGACTAGTACTAGAGTGCCACCAAGATGTAGCCAAAGCCTCGGTGGATAATAACATTATCCTGAGGTGGGTTAAAGAGCACGACAGGAGTGAAGGTAATCACATTGCCGACTCTTTAGCCAAGGAAGCGGCTGGACTAAAAATTTTAGGAGCCAGTGGCACTTACGGCCTGATGACTTCGACATTTGCGGAACTAGCCAAATGTTACACCTATGCTCAATTCCTAAAGAGATGGGATGGAATCAAAGGATGCAATCTTGCCAGGATCGCCCTGGGCGACCCTGAGAAGCTGGCGCCGAGAAGCTGGTGCTCGGAGTTATCGTCAATAAGAGAGTGTGTGTTCGGTGAGTCTTGGCCTACACCTGCCGATATGAAGGAGATGTCTCCAAATGCCTGTTCACCTTCCTGGAAAGAACAGGATGAATGATGACCTAGGAGGACAACTCCTCGGGAGGATGTACAATGGAGCACATGTGGCCTAAGTGCTGTGGGCTTACACTCACCCTCCCTACTCTACAGACAGAACATCACCAGGAGATGGCCAAAGACTTTTCCGAAACATTGTGGAAATATTCGAAGTAGTCAAGCAATCAAAACAATTTTTTTTGGGTTGAGCCTTTTTTTCTTTTGGTATTTTTTTACTAATTATTGAACCAAGTAGAAAACTTTTCGAATTTTTTCATTGGAACCAAATCATAAATAGTATCATATAGTACACTATCAATTCATTGTACAATGAATCTCATGAATAAATCATGATCCAACTCTAGATTGATAAAAGAATACAGAAGTGGTACCAACCTCTGTTGCGTGAAAAAAATCGTGAACACAGCATGCGATCTCGAACTGGTTTCGTTCATATTGGTCGCAGCCACGGTCCTGGCCTTGTTACCTTCGTCGATGAGATCATGGATATCTTGGTAGCTCATGACGGCCAACTTGCTGAGGTCTTCGACGTATGGCCCCAGCAGCGGGTGCTCCCTCACCCTCAAATTTCCTTTGTTCTTCGGATTCAGCAGGTCCCTTACCCGCTCGCAGTAAATCTCCATGTAACTAACCTCCACGGAATATTTCACGTCGGACGAGCTGTTGTTTCGAATTTTCTTGAACAGGTCCTGGCATATCTGCGGTATGATGCCTTCCTGACCGTCTTCCTGCTTCCCCATCATCGTGTAGGATTTTCCTGCACCAGTTTGGCCGTAAGCGAAGATGCAGACGTTGTACCCGTCGAAGGAGTGTTGCAGCATTTCCTCGCCTATGTCTCTGTACACTACTATTTGCGAAGAAAACTTCGGATCACTCTCCTGCAACGGAAAGGATTGTTAATAGGGATGTTCGGTCGATTAGAGTTGGTAGTATACTCACGTCATGTGACCAGTACGAATAATCGAAATTAAAACTTTTTTGAGCATCTTTCGTGTTTGGTTCTGCCTTTGGATTGGTGATGGCTATAAATAAAATTCAAAATTATTATGACTTTTTCAAATATTTGTCAACCAACAGAAAAGAATAACTTGTATCAACAGATAGTCACGTTTTTTTTCAATTGTAACAATAAACCATAACTACGTTACTTGCACGACAGGACAGTTGGATGGTTTTGCTAGTTTTGCTAGTTGATGGTTTGGAATAATTTACCACTAGTTTTGCTAGTTGATGGTTTTGATGAGACCTTGGTGGGCCGAAACAGCGCTGCCTGGTGGGATCACAATTAAACTCATGAATGTATCGACAAAATATTTAAAATTCATAACATTTGATGAAAGTAACGGAATTTTACATTCAACTTCAAATGAACTATTGAACTAAACATTTCAATTTGAATCTTTGTCCAATCTCCATATAGTCTTTATCAACTAAAATTACTTTTTTAATATTATTCTGTCAATCTTCTTCGGCAATATTGGATACTTCTTCTTGAATTAGCTTTATTACCTTCTTATTAAATTTTCCCCAAATCAACTCGATGGGATTGAAAACACAAAAATAGGGGGGAAGTCTCAATATGGTGTGTCCATACTTTCAAGGGCATACACTTTTTTCAAATATTTTTGTCTGTTAAACTTCAAGTAGTTGATTTTTATTATCCATTAAAAAACTTTGTATTTCATCTTTCCTCGAATTTTGATTCGGTACTTTGATGAGCTGTCGCGAATATTAGGAAGCGTTGTAAAGAACTATTACACTATTCGCATCCAAATTTGGGATCAATGTGTTTTCAAACCATTCCTCAAAAATATTAGCTTCCATGTTCTTATGATAGTCAACATTGCAGTCCTCAAGTTTTTTCCACATAATTTCAAAGAATTCGGAACCCATCCTTTACTTCCTCCGCAATGCACAATGATTAGTCGTTCTGGAAAAGTCACACAAATACATACATGGGTTGTGAAGTGAACCGAAAAAAAAACTGTGATGAGCCACATTAGATTTTTTCAATTCTGAAGAGGGTTCCTCCGAAACGTTAAAATGAGTATCTGTACAAATACTTAGCCCTTTTCGTGATAAGCAAAATTATTAAATAAGGTAGTTAGTGACAAATAGAATATTTTTCCTTGTGAAAAATACTTTGAATTTTTGCAGAAATTTATTGGAGTGAGCTAAAAAGGTTGTCCTTTCTACATCTGTAGTTCTCCATTGAAATTTTCATTTCACGAAGCTTGTGGAAGGTGAAAATCCCACCAAAAAAAAGGCCGACAAAAAATATTTGATTTTGTCTTAAGGCAATATTGAAAATCTTGCAAATCAAAACGTTCCTGTTCCTTACTAATGGCAAGTTTCGCTAATTTGATTCCATATTTTATGTTCTACTCACCTGTCGTATTGCCACTCATTTGAATAATACATTTGCATTCTCTATTGATTTCTCTATTATTGAATGGTCTGACTCTTACAGCTACTTTGACAGATGACATGTTGTGGTATTAGTTGAACTGCAACAAAAAAATCACAAAATGTTAGCTTTGAAGAAATAACCTGAATTCAATATTTGAATATTAAATCCATATTGGATTTTACGAGAGAAGCGATCACTTTGGGATATCAGAATGTAACATCATAATTGAAAAAACACGAGAGAACGTATTAAAAATTGCAAAAAAAAGTTGTTCCAAAACTTATACAATTTACTATTTCGAAATTATGTTGTGCTCTTTCATTCGTTCCGTGAGTTAGAGTCAGAGTAAAATCAATACACTAATTATTATTACCCCGAAGAATTGACTTGTACTGATGTGAAAATTTAAATGCTTCTTTTCAGAATAATTAGTGTCGTCAATAGCGAAATTCTCGACTGAAAAGGGATTAATAGGTAGGAACACAAGCTACTGTTTATTAGATGTCGAAGGATTTGAAGATTTTAATTAGGTAAAAGGTGTTTATAAACGATAAAAACTGTTCTGATGGAGGCTTGAGAGTATTTTATAGATAAAATTGAAAGGAGGTATTTTTCAGGATAGATTAGTTTTTGGGAAAGAAGCTTTCTGGCTATCTACTTCTCAATCTTTGCACAAGAGACGTGGAAAACTTCTGAAAACACGAAGAAAGCAATCAAGTAGAAAATAAACTCTTTAGAAAATGTGTAGATCATGCATAGACGCTTTTTTCAGATACAAACTGGAGGAAAAAGTCCTAACAACTACTTTTACACGAACATTGAATTACACAAAAGAAACATTCGTTTTGAAACAAATTATTTCAACTAAATATTGAATAACAAAAATCACTTTCTCTCATTCAGTTTTTACTTCAAATATACGTTGAGGAATTGAAACAGATATCATTCACGGGAACGCTACACAACCTAATATATGATTTACATTGTTATAAAATTAAAGTTGCAAGGAAAACTGCTGTCATCACGGTATACTTTTTGATGTTTCGGGTCGAAAATATTTGTTTTCAACGCCTCATGAGCACCTATTTGAACTTTTGAAGACAATATTACTACTATATATGTCACCGAAAGAGAGTCGTAATTTTCTGCGAGACGTACGCTTTTTCAAATTTAATCCAAAAGTAATCCAAAACAACACATGAACACAATACTTCAATTGAATTCTAGAATTATCTTCTTTATCTAACTTGTTCACTGTCGCTTTCCTTGCTCTCGAACTTGTCTGTGAACTAATTTTATTCTTATCTGCAGCTCGATGAGCCCATTTAAACGTTCATAGTCGATTCGAGTGTTCGATAGCCCATTCGAAAGCTCTTGTACATTCGCGAATGCGCATGTACAAGCCCAGTGGTATAATAGTGACGAGACTCAGTTCTCAGCAAATAGAGATTTGAAAGTTGAGCACATTGGAAGCCGTCGTCAAGTCACGAAATCCCAATAAGTGTGGTTCCACTTAATGTGCATGCAACACAATCAATGGATAAAGTATTCAAAATGACCTCCATCAGTTCCATACAATAATACAGTCTACAGTCGAAAGTGTTCCGTACATTATTGAAGATGTCCGGAGTCAGAAATCAGCATTCCCGAACTTCTCTGTCGCAGGTCTTCTAGATTTGTAGAATTTATTTAATTAGTAGTAAACGTTTTGAAATGGACGACACTGTTACTTTTTTCTGCACTGGTAATTTTTGTTGAATCTAGTTGTCGCAGAACAAAAAGTAGATAGTTGGCCACTGTCACTTCTTCACGAATTATTATTCAGTCATCCTTGTGTAACGTTTTCGTTTTCACTCACTGCGTTTATTTTTGTTTTAAGGTTATCAATGTTTCACCCTGTACATTGCTCCAGTTTAGGAACTGTAAAAGATAGTAATATATTCACCAACTAGTTTTCCTAAACCACCCAATCTGATAAAAACGTATCAACCTACCTCCCATGTACACATGTAGAGTGTCCACGCCCATGTAAATAATCATTAATGTTGTGTAGTTATTGGAATAATCTTGAGCTGACTCAACGTTCATTTTGAAAGCCGTATATTGGTAAATTGTTCAGGAGCACCTATACCGCAAATGAAATTCTGTGTTGACAAATTTACCTTTCCTCATTCCATCTCTTTTTTCTTCCAATAAACTGTTAGACTTCGTTCAGTTCCGATAGTCTCTAGTGTGTGAACTCTATGAAGATCCCACAAATTTGACAGAATTATTTCTGAGAACGACAAGGTGAATTCAGATAGGGAGTACCGATCTCTTTTAATTATTAGAAGCGAATCATGTTATGTGACGTATAATGGCAGTACCCTTTTGTGTTTGATATTAAAAATATTGTCTTTCGGAGAATCTAGTTGTCGATTCATTTGCAGAAGAGAACCCTCTTGGTACCAGAGGTGAGTCCACTACTCCATTGTGTTTTTATTATTCCAAGAATGTATGTGAATATTCTTATAGGGTTTTTCTTTAATACGAAAAATTTTCTCAGCCTAATCCTGTATCGCGAAGGATTTGGAAACGTTAACCAGGGCCACAAGAGTGTTCCTATTCACTGATTCGACTCCCTTTATCCAATTGGACGTCCTCTTTGACTCAAACAGAGGTATTTTCTACCATAGTCCGGATTTACTAATTCCTAGCGAGTGATAAGATGAACAGAAAAAATACAACCACTCCTCCTTTCTTACTGCTTGAGGACCTCATCTGCTCTACGGTTGTTACTTCTTTAGAATCAACGTTGGATGAAAGGCCAGTTCAGTATTATAGTTTTCATTTAATATTTCAGTTCTTACTTTCATTATTCAAACTGTTTATGTTTAACCATTCAACCATAAATTTGCTATATCATCAATATTCAAGCCCTTTTGAGGTAACATAACTCACAAAAACATCCCATTAGTAAAAATTCATGAATTTTGCCCTGGGTACACGTTTTTTCTTATATATTTATATATACTGGTATCAGCAAGTTATCCGTCAAGCAGGCTTGAGAAGGTTCAATATGTATGATCGTATGCATTGTTATAATTGCATAATAGTAGCGTACGACTTAATATTTATCTCATTAAATAATATGAAATTGGGTATGTCTTTCTTTTATTGTAGTTGTTGTATCTACTCTATACCTTAGGTTTCTGATCTTTTCCAAATAAGACCTTATAAAAAAGACAGTGGCGCCCTTATTGTATCCTTATTTTATTTAACAGAATCGCAATAATCAATCCACTCCCATATGCCACCGACGAACAGCTGCCGGAGCTACTTTGCCATGTTTTCTCTTTTGTAGAAAGACAAAACAGGGAAAAGGAATAACACTTGTTCACTGTGTTCCAACATGGTTTATTCTACTGAAGAAACAATATGAATTGTTGCAACCTATTATCGAAATAATGAATGTGCTAAAGCTACTGCAAGAATTTATAATACGAACCATCCAGATCACAACGTGAGCCATCAATACGTTAAACAGTTAATGGATAAGTTTCGAACTTCAGGTTCTGTTCACAACAGAAAACATGAAGTATCCCGTCCTGTCAGAAATAACGGAGTTGAAGTAGCAGTTTTAAGACATGTCGTTACTGGATTGATGTGAATCCTCATTTGGTGATGGAAACACATTTACAAACTCCACAAAAATTAAATGTCTAGGCCGGCATTCTTGGTTCTCATATTGTTGAATCATTCTTCATTGAAGGTAATCTCAATGGACACACATACTTAATTCTATTACAAAACTGTATAGATCCTATGATTATACAAATTTTAGAAAATGATGACACTTTAGTAGAACATGAAATAACACTCCAGCGTGATGGTGCACCTCCACATTTTGATGTTTTCGAACGAATGGGTTCAGTGAAGTGGCCAGCTATATCACCTGATCTCACATTGATGAACTTTTTTCTGTGGGGACACCTGAAGTCGAAAGTGTACTCTACTAAGACTACAAATCTAGAAGACCTGTGGGAATGCCGTTTGCTGCCTCCGGACATCTTGAATAATGTACGGAACGCTTTCGAGAGTAGACTGTATTATTGTATGGAACTAGGTGGTTGATTTTGTTCCCACTGATATTATGTGTTGTTGATATCTTCATTAAAATGAACAACAACAAATTTTCTGTTTTTTCTTAAATAAAACGTTCAACATTCAATTTCTCAATAACGAATGAACTAATTTCGAAAAAAACTACAGAAGTAATAAAGGGGCAAAAGACTTTTCAAATAATGTATCACTCGACCCCCCATACCAGTGGAAAAATAGGGGGGGGAAGTTGCTGACCGCAGAGGGGTGAAGTTTCATGTATGATTTCCATATCAGAATTAGTTTCCGTAGAAATAAAGATTGATGTTTTCTTTGAAATTTTCGATTACACGTCCGTTTTTGACCTACAGGGGGAGTCAAGTTTTTGTTGGAACGTTCAAATGTCCACTACGGCCACGTGCCGGTCCAAGTCACGACGCAAAATTCGCCAAGTTATGGTCTGCGAAAGGCAAAGTTCTTGTGGGCGATGCGAAATCGACAGCAGCGATGTTTTCGGCAGATCTTGCGTTTCGTCGACGTATGGATGTTGGTCGATGGTTTACTGAACCAGTGGACTCAAATTTATCCACCACTTTGCGAATAGACCTATTAGTAGGACGATTATATCGACCGTAAAATGGGCGAAGCGCGCGGTACGTTGCCCGAACAGAACATCCATTTTGATAAAACAATTTCATTACTTGCAAGTGTTGTTGAATGCTATCCGTCCATGGATATCACAGTACACCAAAAAAAAAATGTCTTGCTGCCGAAAAAAACAACTGATTTTGGTTAATTCACCTGAGCTGATTCCAAAAATACAAATTTTTTCTTTGTATCAGCTCTAGTTTTCGAGATATAACATACTCATCAAATACTTAAATATTCTTACATTTCTGTATATTCCATCACTATAATTGCAATATGTTTATAAACAAACTTCACAAATTATAAGACAAATGCATACTAATGACTTCTAATTAAAGTGTACTTATTGGAAATGCCTATATCATG